TATCTATTTATAACAGAGAAATAGACAGATTATGTGAATTAAAATTTTTGGAAAAACAAACAAAAAAGAAACTATTAGGTTAAATCTTATAAGCTATAAATTGGGGTGCAGTGGTGTGTTTGCGGACTTACAACCCTAGAAGCCAGGTTTCGATGCCCGTGGTGGGCAGAGCACATATAGCCCATTGTGTAGCTTTGTGCTTAACTAAAAACAAAACACTCCACCTCCACTCACCTCGGAAAAAAAATCTCGTTATAATGTTGAAGTTACGTCGTTGATTATATGTAATAAATTATATTTAATTAAGCAATTTACTTATTTTCATTTCATTATCTATCATATTCATGGCAACTTCTGTATTATTCTATAGAATTAAAATAAATTGAATGCTTATTTCATCCATGTTTTCTGTAGTTAGCTTGCGTTAAAGATTTAAATGTAAATAAATTAGATATAAGTGTATTGAAGATACTCACACATCACTTTTCGAAGTATAAACGTGGTCTTCTAGCGATTCTATAGCCATCCATTTAACCGGAACCCGTCCCTAATTTTAAAAATCAACATGTTAATTATAAAATATAAAGAATATACCTCTCTCTAGAGTTTGAATTAATATTAAATTTAATGCGTGGTAATTTGAATAAATTTCTAAATATATTAATTTGATTTACTGAAGTATATGTATATAAATATAAGACGTCATTACTGTCGCCCCACCTATCGTAAATTTTTAAAACTAATTCACACTAACAGAATAAAGCCCAGTTTTGATTAATGATACTGTACTTGCTACATCCACCAGGAAGAATGTGTCTTATAGTAACATAGTCATGTGTAGATTAAGACAAAATCTAATCAGCTGATTGTCAGAAGAAGATCACAATTGAGCTGAACAGGTTAGATTGTGTATTAAAGGTTAATATTAGTGCTTATAAGCACACTTGCTTTAGCCGTGCAGCGGTTCCCAAACAATGGATCACGCCCAATTGGTGGACTATAACTAGTATCCGGGTGCTTCGCAGTCAAGAAACAGTAAAAGATAAATATATTTTTATGTTAAGCTTATTTACAGTTTACAGTTTACAAATAATGATCCAAATAGTTTTTGAAGAAACAAATCAAAAACACAAAATATAAGAGCACTACCAGACGTTACTGAAATATATTAAAACGGTAACTTCCCTCTTCCAAATTGAGCATGCTCTCCAGAAAATTACTTGAATACCCAAGTGAGTCGTGAGTTCGATAATATTTGGAATCCCTACTTTAGCGTGACTCTTTTTTTTTCATTGATTGGGAACCCCTACTTTAGAGTGACCTTTTTTTTCATTGACTGGGAACCCCTTCTTTAGAGTGACTTTTTTTCATTGACTGGGAAACCCTACTTTAGCGTGACTTTTTTTTCATTGATTGGGAACCCATACTTTAGCGTGACTCTTTTTTTTTTCATTGATTGGGAACCCCTACTTTAGAGTGACCTTTTTTTTTATTTACTGGGAACCCCTACTTTAGAGTGACCTTTTTTTT